GGATGAGCAGAATCCATCTCCTGTGGGCGTTGATTTTTCGCTCCTGCTCCTCCCTTTTCACTTTCCCGCCAAGTCCGTGCGTCATTATTGAACAGTCCGTTCGTGCGTGCTGAGAGGTCTGTGCGTTGTTACAGTCGAACGCGCGCCACCATAGACTTTGCATTGAAACCCGACGCAACGCATGATCCGGTCTGAAAGCAACTTTAGAACGGCGGAGATAGGCGTGACTCTGTCCGTTAATATATACAGTCTATGATCTTAACTTAAAAGTCGCGTTTCCACCACAGGAGTTCCTGGTAAAATGAGGGGGTGGGACAGCTACAGGAACCGTCCTCTCACTCTGCCTCTCAGTGGCTGTGTCGCCACTGCAGAGTAAGGCCGCTCGGCGGCGTCATGAGTTTCGATCACAGTGTAATCAATAATTATTTAGTTTACGAATGTAACAGTTCCGGTTGTTGTAGTCTTTAAGATTCTTTTAAGTCCTGTTTCTTAACTTTTCACGACATTGGGCCTCATTCACGAATAACTTCGTAAGAAACTTCTTAAATTTCTTCAAGTCGTTCTTCAGTAGATTTCTAAGAAGACCCTACGTGGGATTCATCAACGCGCTCGTAAGCCGCTGAATCTTTTGCCAGATTAGGAATAAAGTCATAAAATGTTGACTTAAAAGTCGAAATATTTTGAGAATAAAGTCGAACTAGCAAAATGATGAGATTAATCTCAAAATGTTATGAGATTAATTTAAAAATATATTATGTTTTAATTTAAAAATGAATCTCAAAATGTTATGAGATTAAGCTAAAAGTATTTTGGACCCTGAGAGGAGATCCAGCACTGTCTGAGACCAATGCAGACCCGAGGAGAGACTGGAGAGACTGGAGAGACCAGCACACAGAAACCAGAGCAGACCGAGGAGACAACGAATAGACTGAGACCAGCGCGGACCGAACAGAGACCGCATAGACTGAGACCAGCGCGGACCGCATGAGACCAGCATGAGACCAGCGCGGACCGAAGAGAGACCGCAGCGACTGGAGAGACCATATGGAGAGACCAGCGCGGTCCTCCTGCTGCAGCAGTATATATTCCATTGTTTTGTGACCCGTGGATGGATAAATGTCCCCTATCAATAGGATGGGGTCACTAACGGCATGATTTCCAATGTATTTGATAAAGCGTTGGCGCATTAAGTTTACAAATGCATTTTAAAAATGACTAAATTACCATAAACAATGAAATAAATAAATACATACATCAATATGGCAAACATATCACTGTAATGTTGTATTTTATTGAACTTCACAACACGAGCGTGCAAACATGTCGGCACTGAATGTGCGTAAGAGTGCTCCTGAGCACTCGTAGGATTTGTACTTACCCAAGGGAAATTCTGCTTACGAGAAATATTCGTGAATGCCACATTCTTCGTAAAATCCTCGTAAGTAGGATTTACGCACAAATTTGTTCGTAAGAACCGTTCGTGAATGAGGCCCATTGTTTCTGAGTGTGATGGAGCCCCAGTGCTTCGAAGTGCACTAATATATCTATTCACGTCGCCGCGATCCCTCAAACTACATCTTGCTGTTGTTGTTGTTTGCCGTTTCCAGTGGTGTCTGCTAGGCTAATGCTGCTGGATTTTTATAATACCGGTTGTTTTGGTGCTTTCTGCTGGCGTCAGAGGTGTTCAGGGCCGAACGGAGTACCGAACATAGAAGAGGCACTCCTTTAGTTCCCATAAGAGTTCCTGTAAATGGCCCTGTGGGGGAGGTTCCTGCAGTGGAGACACACACCAACAGGGGGGTCTTGTAAAATCACCCCAAAGTTCCTGCAGTGGAAACGCGGCAATTGTTTATTTGGCATAGGGACAGTGCTGTTTCTATCTTGTTTTGTTCAGCACTTTGAGTTGCCTTGTGTATGAATTGTTCTATACAAATAAACTTGCCTTGCCTAATGAACACACCTCTCCAGATTGTAGCCTTGAGCTAATTTGCCCATCTGTTGTCACACACTGACGCTCACAAATCCTTTTTCACCCTAAAAAACTAAATTGATTAATCGTAACAAATCTGAAAAGCAACACATGGAACTCAAAATCAGTTTAAGGGCAGAGCTTGAAATAATCCATGAACCAAACTATACGAAAACTAAAACCAAGGCCATGAAAAATAGTGATTAGTTAATTATTTAGAGCAGAGGGTCTTATGGACAAAGAGAAGGAGCCATGCATCCACGTCACTTTAGCCCATCTCCAGTCAAAGAAGCCCCCGAAAGATTGATTCATTGTTAACACAGCCTGACACCCTATGTGTGGGGGAAAGAAAGTGGCAGATAAAAGCACAGAGAAAGGACACAAGGGGCTCCATTTAGCAGGAATATGAGCAGAAGTACTTCATTGGATAGGTTCCCACAGTGCGCATTGCACTTGCAAAACACAGCATATGTGGCTTCGAATAATGGCATTCCATCAGGATAAAATAAAAGGCAATTTAGCTCATAAAAAGACGGTGAGTAGAAAAGATTATATTTGAATTTAAGAAGTTAGGGACAGACACGCAACAGCTGCGTCCAACTGCTTTACAAAACACACATATTTGTTTTTCTGCATGCAAAAGATATGCAACTAAATCCCAAATACAAGCCTTCTATGGTTGAATAAAAAAAACAAAAAATAAATCATACACAAGCTGAATCAATGAGCTCAAGTTTTCAATTAAATTACGGATTTGAATGCAACTTGTATGTAGTAATACGCATTTTTATGAACTCATTAGAAAATAAATCGGGTATAGCTTCTTTAAAGCTGGGGAAACAAACATTTTAAATTCATTCTTCTATCCATTTTCTCCATCTTTATCAATTGCCGGGTCGCAAATTTATTCATAGTCCATGTTATTATCTTGTAAAAGTAAATTGTTGAGAATAAACCAGACAACTCCATGCTTTCTTAATATTAATAGAATACATTTTGTCTTTTGTATCTAAGAAAAACCTTTGAGAGTCACTATATGATGCTTTGGGCGGAGTGAGGAAAGCTTAATCTAATTAGACAGAGACAGAGACCAAAAATACAAGTATGTGAAAACAAGTGATAGAACCAAATGGAGTCCGAGGAACTAGTTTTAGGGATTCTATTACGTAGTTCCAATGTTGTGGCTTGAAAGTTACGCACCCCAGCTTTAAGATAAATAACCACATTCCGGCTCCCGACAAGTGCTGGACACTCCTAATCACAAAAAGCAACACTAAACTGTGACTCAGCGGTTTCTGTTTGGTGACTAACCCACATTGGCATTGTCAGACTGTGCATGATATAGTTAGCAAGGAATGTATTTGAAAACTGGACGCTCAGCGCACACTCAAAACGACAGAGCGCAGACAAACTCTCCCTGAACCCTTGATCATGTTCTTCTTCCTATGCACTGTAAGACATCAATCTCCTTCTGCCAGTCTGCCCCTCTCTCCAGCCACCCACACACACCTAAGTATGATTTATCGACAGCAAAAGACAACATTAATCACAGCTGGATGGTTTATCGTACCCACTGTTACAAGCCTTAATGTGCAATCTGGAAAGAGCGGTGCAAATGAGGAGCAGATGCCTTGTGTAGAGCAACCTTGATGTGTTGTACAATTTATGTATTAGTAGTGTTTACCAAACTATCTCGGGATCTTTCAGCGAGAGTTTGCCACCTGCTCAAGTCGATCCAAAGATGATTCATTAATTACATATCTATTATCAATGTAAATCCATAAGGATGCCTTATCTGTCACAATATAAATATTGATACAGATCCACATATTGTGATAGAAAATATTGATTTATCATCTAACACCCTATTTTCAATTGACTAAAAATCTATTTAAAAAAAAATAATGAAACGATTTTAGAAAGGGGCTGCTATGTGAAATGGGTGGCAGCACTGATTGCCACCCCCCCGACCCAGAAACGGAATGGATGGAGAAAACCCCTTTAATTTTTGATCTTCCTTCACTTGCACTCCTGATCATTAGTAAAACACTAGAGAAACAATAGTCTCTCAAAAGAGCTTGTTTTAATTTTTACCCCAAAACAAAAACGACGTTCAATGTCATTGAGATCGAACAGCATAAAGTAGCCATACCAATACAATTATAAGACAAATTTAAGGCTCAAATTGGAACAGGAAAAAGAAAAAATATTCTTGCCATTAATGCAAATAAAATGTACAGTCTATATACAATGACCCCAATAGTTCCATCAGTTAATGAGAGATGTGTAGATATTATAATACATATTGTGACTGACCACGGTGTAGCTGCGTTTATTATTATTTTGTAAAAAGGAGCTGTCAATCATAACAGGGCTTAGCACTACTCAAGAAAACATATCTAGTAGTGCAAACTATCTATCTGTATACAAATGCTATAGGTTCTAATGATGCCAACACATTTCTCCATCACACTATAGAGTAGATATAGTGTAATGTTGATATGTTGATAGTCTCCCTCCAACAACACAGACGGAGCATCCCAGGATCCACACACGGTAAGTTTCAGTAGAAAGACCATGACACGTCTACTGACCGGTAGTGCAGACACATACATACACAAAGCAACCATGCGTCGTTAAAGAGGAATAACAATGAAAGGCGACGAAAAGAGTTCACGTCTTTATAAATACACTGGCGATCATGCATTTAATGGGTGATTCCTGTATAATCCATAGTCGCCCAATGAAAGCAAACACGCCAGAACATCGTAAACTTACTAGCGAACAGCTAAGAATATCTAGGCATATATAAGTGATCGTATGTAATAACTTTAAAGACATTATAGCAAAGTTCATAACAAACATTCCGTAAGTACAGTGGTACGTAAGGTGGCCCGCTTGGTCCCTTCACAGCAGCCAGCTCGGAAAGGAAGCACCACGTTGTTCGCGGGATACATGAACAAAATAACATATGCAAAACTACAAGTCGATCAAACTTAAATACTTCCCCCACAAAGTGCAAACTACTCACCGGGGTTGTAGCTTCCATTGGCACAGAGCAGTTTTACGTCTCTACAAACTCTCCGCCATCTTCGGCTGGACCGTGTTTGGTTAAATGGGAAACACTCCCAGAGAGAGAGAGAGGAGGGAGTGAAGGGAGAGAGGAGGGAGGGAGCTGCTGGTGGAAGGCATTCTGGGTAATGTAGTCATGGTAAAAGGGTCACAGACGCAGATTAAAATGTTGTAAAATGTGATTGAGTGACCGCATATGCATACATATTACTATCGTTCTAGTTACTGTATATTGTGTATTCTGCATTATTATGATGGTCTTTTAGGACCTTGAGTCTGGAAGAAAGATTTACTTAACATTTTCCATAAAAATTATTCTCCCACAAAAAAATGGATCATCAATAGGGTACTTTGTTTACCGGATCTTGAGATGATTTAGTCGAGTAATAGTAATTCAAAAATTAAGTTAAGGTGCCAAATAGCTGGATAGTGCGATATTTACTTTTATATTTTAAACAGGTCTAACTCTAAATTCACAAGTTTAATAACCAGTTTATATTAATAGCTAAATTGATGTTTTCCATTAGATTTAAGTTTGTGTCTACATAATATTTTAGAGCATTTGCCAAGCTTTTTCTTTTGATGACTACAGCTTTATCCATGATAGAAAATAAAGTTATTCTATAATTCAGCCCTATTTGATATGCATAATATGTACTGTCATGTGTTATCGACATACGTTATATGGTTAAACACCATATGAAAAAGTAAACCTGTTGTTACTCAGTATTTAGGGCAGGTTGGCGAAGGTTTCTGCCTAATTGTTTTGTGCTTATCTCTGTAGTATCATGTTAATCAATTATTTTCACTCAAGTGCTCAACTAAATATGACTAAATTAATCTATTTTACTTTTGTTATATTCCTAGTGGAACAAAGCTAAATCACAGAAAGGCTAAACTAGGACAAAACTATAATGAAATACAGGATTATACTTAGTACAGTAGCTCAATACAGAACCTACGTTACCTTCGTTGGCAGGGTTTGTTTTCTTATTCTCATGTAGTTATATAGGAGTAACTATGCAGCCTCCGCTCTTTCTATACTGTTCTATACTGTAATTCTTCTTTAAACAAATATTGTCATCAGTTATTGGAACATGCCTCAGATAGTCATCCTTCAACTTCAAACTATTACTATTTGCAGTGTTGTTTTTTATATAAATGTTTTTAAACCAGTAGATGGCAGCTGTGAGTGTAAGATGCAAAATTAAACTGGCTTCTTGTTCATTTGTGACCAAATATACCTTTTACAGCCGCAGCACAAAATGATAGAACCTACATGTTTCTGATGTATAGCCCATAGAAATCATAAAGTACTAGACATTTTTTGGCATAGCTGAGAACTGATTATGGAGCGGGGGGGGCTATCTCTAAATTACTTTTCTATCCGCAGTTGGAAGCTTACAACTAGATGGATGGTTTTATGTGTCATCTAATCAGTTGCAAAGATGTTCTGATGAGGCCAAGATGAAATTATGGATCAGATGTGGTTGCAAAAAAAAGTTTGGAATACAAAAGTAAAGCATGTTGTGTCAGTCCAAGCTGACTCTGGGTCGACTCTGAAGCTACAGCTCGAAACATTATTTCAATATGATAACGACACCTCTGACAGGACGACTGCTTGGCTAAAGGAGCTGAGGCTGGGGATGGACTGGTGTTCAGCTGGTGTGGAGCATCTTCAAACAGAAGAAGAAGCTCAAGGTTCCCAACATGCACCAGCTCTGTGATGTCATCATGAAGGGGTACTCCATTGGTAACAGTGAAGCTCTGGTAAACTGCAAGTCCAGAGGTTTAGGAAGTAATGGAAAGTGACTAAATTGGGACAATTTTCACTTAAGGTTAGGTTTAAGGTAAGGGTATACTTTCAATTTGTTCTCTGTATTTCACCCATCAATCAATGCGATTTGGGCATCAGGAGCAGTGAGAGACCCATGGACAATTTTAGCCAACACGGGATTGAACCCGTCAGTTTCTTGCTGTGAAGCATGAATACCCACTCAACCCACTGTCCCACTGAAACATGTTGCTGTCAGTTTAGTCCAGATGCTCTCACAGAGGAATGCGAGCAACAGACGTTTTGTTACCACAATAAGAGTTGAAAGTAGATCAAATAACAGAATAAATGATCCAAATTAATAGCTCTACACATTTATGTAGTATAAGATTATTATTTTCAATGTAATTAATCAGTAGAAGATAAACATTTTGGAGGTCTTTGGCCGAAGAGTTAGCAACAACAAAATTGCGGTGATGTTTGTAATGAGTAAAAAAAAAGAAATGATTTCCTTGCGACAGCAAGGATGCATAAATCTACCAATAGTAAGATTGATTCAAAAAGTTCAACATGTCATTTGAAATGTATTGGTCTATAGATGTGAAACACTGCTGTTTCTGTAAGATGCTAATGGACAAACAGGATACAAATGTTAACTTAGAAACTCCTACACAGAATCGTATGTGTTAATCAAAGTGAGTCAAAGAAAGAAATCTGTTTTTACAAACGAACGAGGCCTTTTGTACATTTGATGATTTAATCTTTGAATAAATTACTATACAGAAGGTAATAATAGATACTACAATTTTCTTAATGAGTTAATAATCTTGCTTTCTCTAACGTTTTAGAAACAAGTATGAATTTAAATGGAAGGTCATAGCATTACCCATCATATAGCTGATTAGAGAAAGCTTTCAGGCTGCCACTAAGAGACACTTAACCCTGAAACCCCCACTGAAGGACCAAGACTATGCTTTCACTGACAGAGCAGCCATCCACCACCTGCAGGAGGATCAGCTGCTGCTCTGCGAATTGGGTGCCATCTCTGACTGCCACCTCCACAATTTCACTGATTAGTCCACCTTTGTAATAAAATTAAAACTAATAACTAATTAGCTACTTAGATCAATTTGCTATGTGAAGTGGGTGCAGCTCTGACTGAGAATGGAGGGATGGATGGATAGATCAATTTTAAGCAGATAGCCTAATGGAACTTAATATTAAATCATAGTTACTGCACACCAAAAACCTGCTCCACATTTCATTACCAAAAAACAAACAAACACAAACTTCACAACTCAAGTAGCATTTTTTGAGGATTAAGAAGCAGCGCCCTCCACTGCTCAGAAGAAGGTCCCACACACACTGCACTATGCCAAAAGCGATCCCAGAGATTTGCAGTGTTGCGGAGAATTTACTTCCAAGGATAAACTTTCATGCATTACTAAAATGTTTGTGCTTTATCCTGACAACATTGTAACTGTCGTCTACCAACAAAATAAAAAAATATATACTCAAGACTTCTTCCTTGTTATAAGAGATGTTGTATTGTATTACTTGTCTGCACCAAGCAAATTCCTAGTTTGGGACTTCCTGCTACTTGCAAAGACAAACATAATTCTGATGCATGTAAAAAATTGTGTTAGTGGTAGTTTTAAACATTCGAAATAATATTGCTCTTGAAAGGCGAAAGACATCACCGACCCCAATACGTCTCCTGTAACCTTTATTATACAGTGAATGCTGGCATCAGGGAAGTGGTTGTGGCTGCCTCAGAATAGAAACATTATTATTATAATGCATCATTATTGTCTTTTGTTGTTGTTTTTTGTTGTTTAGTTTTTGCAATGTGAAAGTTCAATGTGACGGCAACAGAACTAGTCTACAAACACCAACACTGGGGTGAGCAGGTAGTTAAAATCCAAATATTTACAATAAATAAAGATATATTTCATTATAATTAATTCATTTACAAATAAATGTGCAAGGATTAAAGCGCACGCAGTTCAACCTCAATCTCGGTAGCTCCAGATCGCAAAACTGGCGCTCCTGGGGGACAAGAATATGACAAGAACAGACGAGGAGACCGCCAGTGGGAATTTGACAGATAGACAGGTATCTTTACCTTTTTACAGGTGTTTTATTATTTATTGTCTTAAATAATAGGTTTCGTTGAATGTGTGCATATAACGGAAGGCCCTTATCTATCTTATTTGCAATAAAATATCAAAAGTTGCTTTTAACAATACACACCCCAACTTTTATATAGTGGGCTTCTTGGGAATTTGTTATTATTTTCTAACGACTTGATAATACTACTACTACTTCAACAACATAAGACATAAATAAATAAGTTAAGTTAATCTTTTTTCAGGAAGCCATGCTAAAGTTGTTTAAGGAGATGTGACCGTGTTATGGGAGGCTTTGGGTTGAGAGCTAGTACGTTATGTGTGTGGAAAAAGCTTGTTATCCTAGTGCACGCAGGACACATGTATTCGGTTTGTGGCGGTTTGGATGCATATAAATAAAGGTCCTTCTTAACTGTGGGTAAAGCTGTTCATTGCCTGTCTTGTAAACATATTCTTCTTCCTAGGTTCTAATTCTGTGGCTTCAAAGATCGCACGAAATGTGAAGATACACAGCAGAGTGCAGGGCTGGACTGGGACAAAAAAAGGGCCCGGGCATTTTTTCCTTTTTAGCGGCCCAGGCAACTCAAAAGGTTCAAGGAGCCATATTTGACAAAAAAACTAAAAACAACATCTGTCTGGAGCCACAAAAAAAAAAAAAAAAGCCTTGTATAAGGCTTATATGAAGGTAACAGGGGCTGAAGCTGTATTAGCTACATTAGCTACATTAGCCTAATATCTAAATGACAAAGTAAAGGCTACAAACACTTAAAAACCATTCATGATTATCAAATGTGTATTTTCATTGCAGCGTGTCCTGGAGAGAATGACGCACTACGTGACAACTCTGCTTTAAGTTTAACTTCCATTTTTTTGCCTTCATGAAATTGTACAAATACAGTAAATAAATCTGCTTTTTGGCTCCGAGTTCACCTGCATCACTGTCTGTTCATATCCATCACAGGCTGAAGTTTGCTGGAGCTGAATGTCCTTAACTCATTGACTGCCATTGACGTATTTGTCTGAGACTGGTGATTTCTGTCAAACTTCTCTCTATTCGACGGAGGATTACAGGAGAACCAAACTAGCAAAAACAAACTTATTTTTGCTGATGAAAGTAGACAATTCAGTCTTTCAGAATCTGGTTTCAAATTTCACATATTCATAGCACACAATATTCTGTGGGCCTTGAAAATCAGTGAAATCATCAAAAACGGCTGGCAGTCAGTGAGTTAATGGTCTTTGCGAAAATATTTGAAGTTTGAAAATACGGGCTCTGACTTTATGATGAATTAATCCTTCAGTGAACGGTGTTTAAAGCTTCATTGTTCCTCCTGTTGCAACAAAACATTTCATTACATCGCAAACATGAAGCAGTCCTTCCTCATTGACTGAAAGCAAATGTTCATATTCATTCTTAGTCCAGTCTTATCGACTCTCTCTCTTTATCTTTGGGATCCATGCGCACACACAGTCTATAATGCACACACGGCGGTTTGTTTACAACAGCGGCCGCCTGGCACGGGCCGCGTCACAGGATATGACGCACTACGTTGACAGAAATGCTAAAATTGAATATTACTTATACAAGTTTTTGCAGCATTGAAAAACGTCAAGAATGTTTTTCCTCCTACAGAAACCACATTGAAACTAGAAATAAAATATAGCCCTCACACTCCATTTTCAGACGTTTTTTAAAAGGCTCCAGGAGTCACTTTAGGGGCACTAAAGGTTGCCGACCCCTGGTTTATACAGTATGTGGAAGCAAATACTGTAGAGGATCAGGATGTATGTAGTTTCAACAATAAAATACAGTACAATAGTCTACATTAAACAGAGTAATAAACATGTCTCAGAGTGAGGGAGGTGGCACAGACAATACTATATTGTTTGTTACAGGGATGAGAATTGGTAAACATTTCTGAAATGCATATTGTCAGCCATTGGCTGGCTCTAAATCTGTTTAATCTGTTCACAACATTTTACTTGGGCTCAAACATGAACTTTTAATGCAATGGAAAATGTAGGTACCCGAGCTTTAATTTAGAGGAGAGGGGAGACGCGCACTGTTTTCTGCAGCGGTGTATTTATTGGGTGCACAAATTACGAAAAGACATGCATGGTCCTGTGCGCGTTTATGGTCTTGGGTACATGGTCACGTTGCGGCTACGCGCTCGCCGTGTTGTGTTGTGAGCGGCTCCCGGTGAGCGGTTCCTGCGTCCAGCTCAGAGCCGCTGGATGCGGGAACACTGCGGCCGCTGAGGTGGTGGAATCCCGTTCGAGTATATACAGCAGGTGCCCCGCGGACACGCGCGCTCCCCTCAAACATTTCTCAACGGATTTACACTTTTCACAAACATGTTTTTTTTATGACAGACCGACAGACCGGCCCATATATGGGCATCGGCCCTTCGGGCATTGCCCGGTACGCCCGATGGCCAGTCCAGCCCTGGCAGAGTGTATACTTCATAGGACATAAGATCTCACTGTTCCACTCATGCCATACTCCCTCCTAAACTCTAGAGGCGCTCTTGTCTCTACAGTTGCTGCTTCAGTGTCAGCCATCTGCCGCAGTCCGGAGCACCGCCGCAGCCAGCGCCATAGCGGGAGCGGAAAATGGAGGACAGAAACAACACGAATTCAACATATACGTGAAAACAAGCCTCGGTGAGTAATAGACTGGCTGGGTGCACGCAGATGACTGTTGGAAATGTGTGTTTAACGTGGATCTTTTGGGAGGTAAACAGTGGTGTTGTGATCAGACAAGGGTAAAGGTTTCCCGTTACCCGCTAACCATTCCCCACGTACTGCGTGCATAGAATACTATGTATATGCTACGCACCTCTTTTTGCTATCAACTTAATTCACTAATGTAATGCAACTTCACATTTTAGCATGGTTTTATTTTTTACGAGTGACTAGCTTTCACTAGCTAAACATACGACGTCAATCCATGCTAAACCTGCATCGTGGTGATAGCACTGGTGCTAGCAGTGCCCACAGTCACTCGTGCGCCACAAGATTCGGGTTCTGTAGCTTTTCTGCCGAGGCAAAGCTGAAATCTCAAAGCAAATGTTTACAACACAACATGTCCCGCACGATGTTTAACACCTGACGTGAACGATGGTTAATGCATTATTGAGGTCGCTCAAGCGTTGATCGTGTAGCGTGTCCAACTTCGATTAGCAATAACTATCGATAGATTTGGTTTGCCTTTAATCCTGTCAGATTCACGTTTGTCGTCCATGTGCGACATTGTTTACTCTCTTTATAGGTTTTATTAGTCTAGTACATGTTTAGGAGTGGCGTTAACGTAAGCGCGGCCTGGTGTTGAGCGCTCAATCTTTCAGCTCCCGTAGCTTCTTCTACTGATCCAAAGGCGGATCACAGCTGCGTTCGCATATGCGTGGAGATGATTACACTTAGCATTGTTTCCGCTAATAATTAGCGTTTGTAAACTGCCCAAAATAATTCGTTGTATGTGTTTCTCCTCGGATACTCCCACTTGTATGCTAAGTGTCTCCCAGTCACGTGGTACTATCGGGATAAGTCGTCCGCTTGGTGTCTGAATTTAATCAGTTGTTTAACTGTATTGTATTTGTAATCCTTGATTTGTTTCTTTAAGATGTATATGTGCAAGGTAAAAAAAAGTCCAAGTTTATGGCAGACAATCTGTTATGGCAGCTCTTACATATTCAACTTTGACAGTTCCTATTATGTCTTTTTGAACTTAATTGTCATAGATTTCAGGCAACGTAATTATTTCATGAGTAACAGGCCCTTTCCCAATTCAAAGCATGCACTATTTTAATGTGATGAAAAAAGGTAATGGAAAGCTTAGGTGCTCATTGTTAAGTATAAAAAAATAATTTGAGTGGGATCCGTTCTACATTACGATTGTGTGGTTGTGTTTTTGTCCTTTTTTATAGTTATAATTTTTACAAATTATAAAAAGTACATGAATGATTTTTCTTTTACAGATTCAATACTCCAAAAGAATACAGTCCACTTTTATTGGACTGTTGACAACAGCCTACCAGGTACAATATGAGGCTTTTTTGTTGTTGTTTAACTTTTTTTTTTTGGTATGTAAAATTACCTTGCTTTTTACTGTTGCAATTCAACATGAAATGGTTTTTTTGTACTTATTTCCAGAACTAAACTATCTTGAGAGGAAGTTGTGAAATAAACCTCAGTTCCACCTTGTTCTCATTTCCAAGAAGAAATGCCAGTGGAAGCAGCAGACAGCCCAGAAGTCCCCTGTCCTGTTAGGCGCAGTGGGAGACAGCCTAAGCGCACTGACAAACTTGAAGAGTTCCTCTCCACTGCCAAAAGAGCCGCAAGAAAGAGTGCCCCTCCTAGTCTTGAAGGTGGGGATCCTCCTTCACAAACTCCAACAGATGCTGAAACAGCCTCTGAGGCAAGCTGTGATGGAAGTACTGAAGCAAAGGCAGAGTCTCCGGAGCGGAGAACAAGGAGTGGAGCAAGAAAGCAGTATCAGAGGAAAACACAAGGACTAAGGCAAACCAGAAACAGAAGTGAAGCGGTTGCCAAAGATGAGGCTAGTTCTGGGAATGAAGAGGAGAGCAAAGAGGAAGAACCATCCCAAACTCAAGATATTGTTAAACCAGAACCCGCTGAAGATGGTCAAACTATTCTTAATAACACTAATGTCATAGAGCCACCGATGGCAACACAGACAGGGCCTCCCCCCGTACAACAGACTGCACCTCCTACCGCACCACAGGCAGTGCCACAGACTACACCTTCCACAGTGCCACAGATGCCTCAGATGCCTATCTGCAAGAAGGAAGACAAAAACAGCAAGGAACCAATCAAAACTGAAGATGAAGTATCCGATAAGCCTGCAGTATTGGTAAAACGTGGGCCCATAAGAACATATATCAATAAAAAAAGAGCTGCTAGCAAGAACACTACTCCTGTTAAAAGCGCATCCCCTGCAAACAAGGCTACCAGCACAAAAGAAAACAACAAACGAGCCTCAACAACAGGCAAGCCCCAGAAAGAAGAGCTGGAAGACTCCTCCTCTACTTCTACTACCTCCTCTTCAGACGACTCTGATGATGGAGGCTATGACCCAAATGCGCTCTACTGCATCTGTAGACAAAAACACAATAAACGGTATGTGCTTCCAGAATAAGTCAAATGTTTACGCTAGTCTAGAGTAGTACCATTCTTTCAGCCATTTCCTTTCACTTTTTCACATTTCTGTGTGAATGATTCTGTATATGAATGATTCTGCTGTTTGAGTAGAGATACTCAGACCTCACTCTCCATGTTCAGCTCACCTGGAGCAATCTTGTGGTGTTCCCATGCCATCTGAGACACATTCCAATTCTGACATTTTCATTATAGATTTAGCGTACAACAATTTTCTTATTTCTATACTCAAGGAGATGGAGAAAAAGTGTTGTCAATAAGTGTATGTTTATACAATTAAATCTCTTCCTTAGGTTTATGATTTGCTGTGATCGATGTGAAGAATGGTTTCATGGCGATTGCGTTGGCATCACTGAAGCTCGGGGGCGACTAATGGAGAGAAATGGAGAAGACTATATTTGCCCAAATTGTACTGTGAAGAAAAGCCAGCTTGTGAGACCCGCAACATCTGCTTTGTCTACAAGCTGTACCAAACCAAAGGCTGTGAATGACACTCCTGCCTCTGTCACGTCTCCTGAACATGAGCCTTCTAAGGACCTTGTGCCCACCAATCAGACTGGCCAGCTCCTACAAGCCACTCCACTCTCAGCATTGTCTACAGTTGAAGAGAAGTCTGTAGACGATCTGGGAATCAAGGGGAGGATAGAGAAGGCTTCTAATCCCACAGGAAAAAAGAAAATAAAGATTTTTCAACCGGTAAGTCAGTTTAAATATAATGAGTGTCGTTTGTTGAAAAAGGTTTGGGTAGGTCTGATAAGGCTTGCATTGAATTAAAAAATGATAAAGTGGCTGATTGATGGATTGTACTTGTTCCATTGAATCATAGCAGGTAATGCAGTTGGCGGCGGAACTCAAAGCTGAGAAGTTGGCTGCAGTATCCAAGGTCGAGCCCAAAGCCCCACCGAACGTTGACGACAGAGTAGCTTCAAATGTGGATGCGGATTCAACGACGGCTACTGAGGAGCAGGCTTCGGACAAAACTGACGATGCTGCCCCCAAATGTATAGGACCTGGATGTGAAAAGAATGCCCAGCCTGACTCGGTTTATTGTGGAAATGACTGCATCCTGAGACATGCCGCTGCCACCATGAAGTCTATCTCTGAGCCCAGTCAGAAGGACAAGACCAAGCCTCAAAAGTCGAAAACCAAGGTAACTCGGGCCATTTCAAACTTAAGCCTCTACCGACATCAATAAAAGGTTCCAATTATTGTTGTCTGTGGTTCAGTTTCAATGTTGTTCATATTGTTGCAAGTTTTTCTTCTTTTCAAAAAGTATTTTTTTCCCATGGGAAGTTCAAATGTTGTGGTTTTCCCCAGTTATTTATTATATCTCATAACTTAAATATGATTGTTTAATTATATTTAATACATAGCAAGCATTTTCACAGACATTTTAGGTCAGTTGAAGGAACAACAAGGCTGAATCTGCTCCTAAATGCCTTGCCAACTGAATTGTATTTGTGTTTTCTATAGTTTGGTAGCTGTTAGTCATGTCTGCTACAGGATGGCTGTAAAGCAGAGGAACAGATTTCTATGAGCTTACATGGTACAGGGCACCTGGTGTGTTCTTGTATAGTAGAACATGCATGCTTCTACATACTTTTGATTGTTTGCAAAATGTGTTCATTACATTCTCAAGATTGTCTCACACCCGCAAATGTTCACAAGAGTTTCACAGACAGTTGAGAAAGCAAGCAGTTTACTATTTCCCTCTACTAAACCTTACATCAAAGTGAGACTATTTTAACTCATCTATAATATTTAAATACATGTAGTGTTTTTGTCTTGCTTGTTTTGTTCAATTGCATAAAGATTATTAAGATTTTCATTCTGCTGTGGGAAAATATTCTGTTCTTAATGGTGATATCAGTAACTTATATGGTGTTATTTGACCATAGAATTGTTTACTTATCAAACAATATAGGGTATATATGCTATAGTTCCCTTGGCATAACCACCACCTGTAAGATTTGCTGAAAGAGAATGATTAGAACAATGGCAAACAAAAGATTTGAATTTCGTCCAATCAGGAAGCTGTTGGGGTAAGGATGAGTCAAACTGGAGCTTGCATTAGAACATTTTGGCTGGTTCCAGATAGTCTACATTTCTTCAAGTCTTTCTTTTCAGTTTGAGAAGTAACTGACATTCAAGTTCCGGCCTTTTTGTTCTCAAATTAATATTTGGACACATTTAGAGTGGGATTCCTCTTCCCTTTTGAATGGTTTTTTTGGTTCGTTATGCAGGCATATTTGTAACATAAGTGTGATTATGCCTAAAATAAATGCATGCTAATGCTGTGCTAATGAGAATGTGACATTACCAACTTTGTACACACTTGACCTGGAAGACCCTAATCCGGCACGTCGTAAGACCAACTTTAGCATTTGCGAAGGACGTATTTTACTAAAAATGTTTTTTTTATCTCTTTATCTTTTCACCTCAAGAGTGCCACACATGGTAAGAAAAGACGCAAGATGGAAAGTGATGAAGACTACAGTCCGGATTCAGAGGATGAGGATGACGAAGACGCTCATGCAGAGGAACAGCCCCCCCCTCCTTCCACTGCATCCTGGTCCAGTGACCATAATTACATTGCTGCCACTCCAGAAAAGACTACATCTATATCAACTACAGTGTTAAACAAAACGTGTATGTATCTCGTTGAGAGTCTTGAGCTGTTGTTGAACTACTTGGCTGTTGTTTACTTGTGATTATTAGATTGATAGTATTCTTTTACTCACTTGTTAGTGAACATGTCTACATGCAATCTGTATACAATGTTTTAACGAAGCAATGGCGACAGCTAAAAAGGTAAGTTTTAGCCAGTGTTCAGTATTGGGTAAGTATTTAAATAACTACATTTTTTACTAGTCAGAAAGACCAAGGGGCCGAATTATAAAAAAGGCACATGGACAAGCTGATGATCAGATACAAATGTGCCGTGAACTGGAGAATAGGAGACCTTCATGTGGTTTGTGTTGTATGTGTTCTACATCTGGGCATCTAGATGGATCTGGAAATGGCTTTCCTGGTTTTTCATCAACAGGTAGGTGTCAGAACTCCCCGTTTTTTATTGTAATGACTTTTGGCCTGTGCATCTGAAGTGCTTTGTACTTTAAATGCTGTTTTTACTGCAAGACCTAATGTAGGTACCTGGCTTTACAATAAAAAAGGTGATTATGACAGATTTTGGAAGCCTCAATTGATTATGTGAGCAGTATTGGCATGCTGAGATTTCTTCACCAATAAATCACATAAGACTGACAGCTAGAACAATGCCAGAGGATGGCATTATTGGATGAGCTTCATACAGAAGACCCTGGCCTGTGGTGGTTCGCTTTGAGATGCTGAGAGCTTCAGCTTGGCCTGGAAGACTGAAGAAGGAGGCTTATTGCAGTGAATGAGAAGTCTTCAGCGTTACACATTTCCACCTGATGGTTATGTCATCTTCCATTCCCCAGTTGCTTTTAATGAACTGCAGATGTGTCACTGAATAGTGTACCACTGATTTGTACAAGATAAATTCATTTAGAAATGTAGTCACGTTATGCACACAATTGTCCACATTATTGCACATGGATGTAGACATAAAGATGGTTGTTTTTGCCAAATGTCAAAGTTTCTATGTATTTACCTACAATGTGTAATTTTAAAATGAAAGTAAGTGCATTATTGAAGTTACAAATGATTGATTTATATGAATGTTAACTATATGGAATAATTGCAATTTAAAAGTCCCAAATATTTGAATAATATGACTTTTTAAAAAACCATTAAAGGGTAACCATTTGACCTAGTCGGCACCTCTAGTACTATGGTGAAGTATATATTTTAACTTATTTTACGATTAAACATACACAAACTGGTTTGACTTTGCATGATGGTCACACTATGGTATATGCTTATCTTTTTGTTATATCAAAGACTATTTACTAATGGTCGCCACAGGTCGGACTTAAAACTTCTCTTGATGGTATTACTTGTATACAGATAATCAGTGCTATACTGTGTCATACAATGTGGCAGAAAAGTTGCAATGTGCTACTTTGTTTCCTGCAAAATAGGTAATCAGTTTTATATACATTGAGGTGCATCTATAGATATATTCACATTGGAATGGATTAATTATGTTGGCCTTACTCTCATTTTACCCAACTTTTATGAGAAAGTGTGATATGCATAAACACTTCATTCTGTGTATGATTTTAAAACTGCAATTTCCTTTAATATTTAAAGAAAAACATGTCAATAAATGTGCTATCCATTTCTTTGTGTGTCCAGCTCCACCAACGCTCCCTGAGAACGAACCGAAAGTGAAGCAGGTTCAGACGGCACCTGAGACACCTGCCACTCCCGTTACTCCAGTCAAGCCAAAGAAATCATCCTCTCCACCCCCCAAGACCTCAAAGGGTTCATCCAAGAGTAAAAAGTCAAGTCGTGAATCCAGCAGCTCAAAAGCCTCAAAGAAACCTGTAACACCGCCAAACAAAACTAATTCCAAGTCCAAAAAAGGCAGCCCTGCCCAGAGCCCCTCGACGCACCCTGCTGGGCCCATCCATGTCACAGGAGCTCTGAGAGTCTCCAAGTCCAACTTCACCATACCCAAAAAGCAGCCGCAACAAAAGGACACTCGGCAACCAACTCGATCGTCGTCCTCACCCTCCAAAAACGCCACCTCTTCAAGTTCTTCTGCTCACCACCATCACTCATCTGCCTCGAGACACGCTCATTCCAGCTCCTCACCTGCACCACCTGCAGCTCCCGTGCCTCCTCCACCCAACAACCAGATGAGACAGAACATAAGGCGCTCACTGACGGACATCCTGTATAAGAGGTAGGAACATGTTCAAGTGAATGTCAGCAGCTTTCTGATTGGTCAAAAGTTCTAACTTGACCAGCTCTGAGTCATTTAGACCCTTCTGCTGGTGGCTCATTTTGACCTTAGTGCAGCACAAGTGTTAAATATATGGGTGAAAAATATATGCTGTATATAGTAGTACAGTGCCCCATGGTCAAAAAATTAGTTGCTGACATTACCCTTAAATTGTGAAATTTGAAAAAAATTATGTATAATTGAAATGTTTTCAATTATGATCCACCAGGGTGAGCGACAGTGACGATTTGAAAATGGGAGAGAGTGAAGTGGGAAAGCTTGCATATGCCATTGAGAGAGAAATGTTTAACCTGTGTCTAAGCACTGACAGCAAATACAAGAACAAGTACAGATCTCTCATGTTGCACCTGAAAGATCCCAAAAACAAAGTAAGTTGGCTGTAATCTCATAGTTTACTTTGAAAAGTGCTTTCCAAGATGATTATTGTGGCATTCTTTTGTTTCAGGGCTTGTTTTACAGGGTTGTTGGAGGAGAGGTTACTCCTTTCAGACTTGTGAGACTAAGTTCAGAAGAGCTGCTCTCAAAGGAGATATCAGAGTGGAGGAAGACAGAGGTTTCTGAGGTATTTTGGAATATTCGAATAGAGAAAACAAGTGACAAATGCTTTTATTTAAATTGGACTTCTGTTTAAATAGTCTCCAAGATCTAAACACAGACACGGCTCCACCTCCCGTAGCATGGACCTGGAGGATGCTCCTCCTGCATCAGACGCAGATGTATGTATCGCTACTTCCACTTCCTCCTCTCGTTTGGCTTCTTCTGCTGTAAGTGACGCACTGCAACCTTTCTTTTCTCCTTTAACTTTTTTAACAAAAGTTTCTTGACACCAATTACCCCTTTAGGTGCCAAAGTAGAAGGGCTGCATGCGCTTCTGAATCCAGGGCACTTTGTATACAGGGATCTGGCTTCCTACATTTGTTTCCCTACATTTTTCTCTTCCTACAACCTTTTCTTTTGTTTGTTAATATAAAGTTTAAGGCTGTAACAAGTTGATTGATGAATCGTTATCGATTATTTAATTGGATAACTCCAACTAATCCTTGTTATTTTCCCACTGGGACGAATAAAGGAATTCTTATCTTATCAATCATTATTTGAACAGATTTCAGTGGGCTGTGAAAGTTTTGTGACTCCCTACAGAGCTGTATGAGAGATTTACTTAATATTTTATTGATCTCCATTTTTTTTTTTTATTGTGCATGTAATTCCTGCTCAATAAAAATTAAACTGCCTAAACGTGTATATAAAACAAACAAATCAACAAATCAATGTTAATTTGATTCAAATGAATCAAATTAAAATTCCGTTCATTATTATTTTATACAATATTGTGTGGTATCTATGACATATTTACTGCGCCGGTTGTGAATTTGCCTGTTTTATGCCTTCAGGATGATGATTCCAGCACGACACAACCAGGTTCCTCTTTGCCGTCAGCTGAAGGGGGAAACATGCCTGATATTTTCACCAGTATGCTCAAAGACACCACTTCAGAACATCGGACTCACTTGTTTGACCTCAACTGTAAGATTTGTACAGGTATGAAACCCCTATTCATTCGTTTCAGCGTTTCTGGATAAAATATGCTCTGAATCTGAAATCCAACCATTATACTCAACGATGACATAATATTGTAACCATTCATACAAACCTAATCAAACCTAATCAATTCAACCAAACTTTACAGGTCAAAAAAAAGAAGAAGAGTTGGCAGTGAAGAAGGAAAAACAGATGAGAAAAGAGACAAAACCTTTGAGACAAGAACCGACCCCCACAAGGACTGGAGAGGCATCACCCGCACCCCAAGCCCAGCCTTACCAACACCAAGAGGCCTATACCTACCAACCCACTCCCATTGTGTACAAGCCAGCCAACGTGGACCTTCCAATACCAGAACAGCCATTGCCAGTTCACCAGGAAGACCCCAGTCTCTTAGTGCCACCTGTGGCTGCCGCTTCTGTGTCTCCTGCTGTCTCCTCTGTGACCATCACTCGCAGGGACCCTCGGATGGCCCGGCATGGCTCTGCTGCAACTGCTCCAGACAAACCGCCAACTAACAATGCAACAGAGACTATACTGCCGTCTGTCTCTGTTCCTGTGGATCTGGGGACAAAAGTTGCTTTACCAATGCCCCCCGCACCCCCACCTGCTATGGCTGTGACTAAAACAGTTAAAGCAAAGTACAAAGTCTTTCTCCTCTTTTAAATGATTTTTGCTGTATTTGTACATGTGTTTCATAATACTGATTGTTTCAGCTCTGAGCCACCACCTGAAGGAGAAACTGCAATCTTCCTTCACGGGCAAGAAAAGATCTGGAAAGGAATTATGGAAATGGAAAAAGTAGCAAGATTTGTGACCAAAGCTTTCCTTGTGTCTGGATCCTTTGAACATCTTAAAGAGGTCAGTACTCTATATGTGACTCCATATCTTGTAAAAACAATTCTAAATGTTACAATTGTATGTGACTTTATAATGCACAATGTCATTCATTACTCTTTATTTACACAAAGGATTTGCCGGATGTTATTCACATAGGCGGTAGAATACCTCCTCATACTGTGTGGGACTACGTTGGGAAACTTAAAACCTCATTGACCAAGGTAAGTGGATTTAGCTTTGCAAACATGTATTGAAGGTGGCATACTGCTGAATTGGTGCAAGAATCGTCCATTTTCTACTTTATTTTTAAGTATGTGATGGTGTTTGGATCAAGACATTTCTATCAACCAATTGTTAATTCATTATTCATTCAACATAATCTTTGAAAAATAGGGTAAAGAAATATTAAATTCTGTCAGGGTATTTAGACCTAGGACATAATTTATACGATGCTACTATTGCTCCTAAACATGGCTTTTGTTGTAGGAGCTCTGTTTGATTCGCTTCCACCCAGCCACAGAAGAAGAGGAGGTGGCCTATGTCTCACTGTATTCGTATTTTAGCAGCAGGAAGCGATTTGGGGTAGTTGCCAACAATAATCGTCGCATCAAAGACCTATATCTTATCCCACTTAGCTCAAAAGACCCATTACCACCAAAACTACTGCCCTTTGATGGTCCAGGTAAGCAATTCTAAGAATACACTGTTTTCTAAGGCTTGTATAATATAATTGTTCTCTGCAGTACATTGATTATATATCATAACATTGTCTCCCTGTTTCAGGACTTGAGCCAGCCCGCCCCAACCTCCTCCTTGGACTGTTGATCTGTCAGAAAGACAGGAAACGTGCAGGTGCCCCCCTTGATACTGATGAAAAGAGGTCAAAAATACAAATCCAAGATCCAGATGACACAGGTTTACCTAAACCCACTGTACGGAATGCCCTTGAAATTCCTTTTAGCACAACTCCTCCGGGTACACCTCCCCCTATTTCCTCTGAGTCTTCAAGCAGTACCATTACGCCTTCATCTGTTCTGTCGTTCCTGTCATCTGTTCAAGCTGCTGCAGTGAGCACGGATAAGGAGTCACCATCCCTGACCACTGCTAACCCATCTGTAGCATCAGCTACTCCTCTCCAGACCATCCTCAATACCCTGTTTAAAAAGAAAGTGCAGGACTCTGATGCTTCAAACTCTCCTACTGATCAAGGTGGAGAATCTGCTCCATCTGTTAATATTTTAGATCCCATTGTGAAGCAGTTTGCACTATCCAAAGACAAGGATATGATTGAGGATGATGATCGACCTTACGATCCAGAAGAAGAGTATGACCCCAGCAACGGTTACAACGTACCAAAAAATCCTGCTAGATTAGAAAAAACTAAGACAATTTTGCAAACTGACATCATAGCCAATGATGGTGATGATGTAGCATATGACCCAGAAGATGAATCAATTTTTGATAATGTCAAACCAGTTGCATCTGAAAAAGCAGCAACAGGAATTGACAGTAAGAGTAAAGTGCAAATAAATGTGGAGAGCCTCAAACAAGGAGAGCCGCTTATCCCTGAAAAGCAGGAACAACCAACTGAGGTACTGTTGGCCCAACCTTCTAAATCGTTGTTAGCCAGCACTCAGTTGTTGCAACTTGGAAAGAAAGTTGAAGAATTGGTTAAGTCTGCAACGGTTTCTCCCTTAATTAACCAAAAAAGAGATCCCAGACAAAGAGGGGATCTCCAACAGTTGGCAACAATCAAACAAGAAGAGGGGGCTCAGAATAGTGAAGTGGCAGATGTCTCTGCATCTTCGGAACATAAAGATACACCGGTGATACCAGATGCTCCTGAAGAATTGGAGTCTGCTCATGAACCAGACACAGCAAAGTCTGAGGACACAATGAAAAGTGAGACACTCCCCTTCATTATGGAGTCTGTCAAGGACGAGGTGTCCATTCCTTTGTTAGGAGAGGAACTGGAAGCTGATATGGAGGTAAATTACATGGGTGAGAAGACGCAAATAACTGAGCAACCAGTGCCTGACATGTCTGAAACCATGGAAGACAAGTTCAGCATCTGGCCAAATGCTGCCTCTATTCTTAAAACTGTGGAAGCAGAGTATAGGAACGACAATAATGAAGATAATTTTTATAATGAATGTTCAAATAGTTCCATTATGACATCGGCAATTCCTGTCCTCACTCAGAGCTCCATGGACAGCAAGCCCTATCATGTGTCTCATCACATTCCTCCATCTGCCTATGATCATGAATACAGGCCTCCCATGCAGACACAGAATCTGATGAGACCACCACCACCTATGACTATGCCGCAAGCTATGCAAGGACCACCTCACATAACTCATCAGCCACAGATTCAAGGGCCGCCCCAGATTCAAGGACCACCACAGATTCAAGGACCACCACCTCCCATCCATATACCCCCTCCAGGCCATGGACCTCCTCCAATGCAAGGGGCTGCTGTCCAACCGTTTGGCCCGCCACCTCCTGGAACTTTCCCGTCCTATCCCAACCAGTGGTCTGCCTCGCAACCCCCCCTTCAACAGTTGCCTCCTGGTCCTCCTCCAAACATGATGCCAAACCGAGGGCCACCACCCTCCTTTGCTCCTATTTCCCAAAGAGGGCCTCCTCAAATGTTTGATCCTTTGGTTCGACCACACGGGCCACCTGGTCTTCCCCCAGGCCCTCCCCCACGCCCTAATTTTGACCCTCGGACTAGTATACCTCCTCGATTTTCCGGCCCACCCCCACATTTTAACTTGCCTTCTGTCAGAGGTCTTCCACCAACTTTCACTGGACCACCTCTGGGACATTTTGATAACCGGCTCCCACTACCATCTCACTTTTCTGCACCTAGGGGACCCCCTCCACCTCAGTTTAGTGGCCATAGAGGACCACAAGCCCCAATTGCAGACCCTTTTAAAAAGGATGAACATTTCAAGGTTGAGTCACACCAGCCGCCAAACACTGTTGGCATGTTCAAAGATCAAGGCCCTGGTTTTCGAGAACCTCAACCCAATCAATTTGAGGACAGAAGGGGCCCCCCACCTGGTGGAGACATGAGTGGGCAACACTTCAATCCTCATAACCAGTACAGCTCCAGGCATCGGTCACCACCTCACAGAGGATCCTTTGAAGAACACAGAGGCCCACAATCACAAGACGGTCATACCCCCTCTCAGCCGTTTGGTGGGTCTGAGCGGTATCGCTTTGACCGGCACTCGGATGAACCCAGACCTGTTCGCCACAGTGGCCCATTGCTGCCTACACCCCCAGATGATCCCAGATCTTCACCTGGCCGCATGGGAATACATAGACAATCTCCTGAAATGAGGAGGAGGAGCTCTTCAAATCGTGAAGAATCACCCCATAACTTTGGTCGCTTTGAAGGGAGCCACAGGGAATCTTCCTGTGGTCCTCAACAGCTTCCCGAGGAGCTCAGAAGAGAAATGCCGGAGGATCATAGGCGAGAGCGAGAAGGGCCACATCTAGGAAGACAGGGCTGGGATAGGGGTCAGAGTAGGAGGTTTAGTCGAGAGCAGGACTGGGAGCGAGGAAGGGAGCGAGACGACGAGCGAAGTAGAGAGAGGGATCGCAGCCATGATGGGGATCGTAGTCGTGGGGCTGAGGGTGAGGGTGAACGCGTAAGGGATCCTGAAGCGGCAGACAAACGGAGAGATCGTGAGAGGGATCGCAGTCGTGGAGTTGAAGGTGACCGTGGCCGTGGGCCTGAAGGCGACCGTGGTCGCGGGCCTGAAGGTGACCGTGGTCGCGGGCATGACGGTGACCGTGGTCGCGGGCCTGAAGGTGACCGTGGTCGCGGGCCTGAAGGTGACCGTGGTCGCGCGCCTGAAGCTGACCGTGGTCGCGCGCCTGAAGCTGACCGTGGTCGCGCGCCTGAAGGTGACCGTGGTCGCGCGCCTGAAGGTGACCGTGGTCGCGCGCCTGAAGGTGACCGTGGTCGCGCGCCTGAAGGTGACCGTGGTCGCGCGCCTGAAGGTGACCGTGGTCGCGCGCCTGAAGGTGACCGTGGTCGCGCGCCTGAAGGTGACCGTGGTCGCGCGCCTGAGGGTGACCGTGGTCGCGCGCCTGAGGGTGACCGTGGTCGCGGGCCTGAGGGTGACCGTGGTCGCGCGCCTGAGGGTGACCGTGGTCGCGGGCCTGAGGGTGACCGTGGTCGCGGCCCTGAGGGTGACCGTGGTCGCGGCCCTGAGGGTGACCGTGGTCGCGGCCCTGAGGGTGACCGTGCTCGCGGCCCTGAAGGTGACCGTGCTCACGGCCCTGAAGGTGACCGTGGTCGCGGCCTTGAGGGGGGTCGCGGCCGTGGAGCTGAGGGAGAACGCAATCGTGGGCCCGAAGGGGATCGCGCCCGTGGGCCCGAGGGGGATTGTGCCCGTGGGCCTGACGGGGACCGCATTAGGGAGCATGAAGTGGCGGACAAACGGAGAGAGCGTGACAGGGACCGAGAGCGTGATAGGGGCCGAGACAGAGAATCAGAACGCAGAGAACACGACAGAGAGAGGGATAGAAACCGGGATAAAGATCGGGAGAGGGAGCGCAGACGGGATAGATCTCGCAGCAGAGATAGGGATCGTGGCAAAGAACGCACCCGGGACAGAGACAGGGGCAGAGACCGGGACAGAGACCGAGAGCGCCGAGACCGGAGTCGAAGCAGAGACAAAAAAGAAGACAAAAAGGACTATCGACATTCATCCAGAGACAGTGAAAAAGCTGAGCATGACAAAAAATAACGTTGGTTCATTTGTAGGTTCTGTATATCTATGTAAGACTGTATTTGGTAAAGTTTTTGGCAGTATTGATATTTTCTTTATACTTTTAAAGTGACACCCACAAAATTCCTATGATTGTCTTGTCTGCTTAACCCAATTACATGTAACTACTGTATATTTTTAACAAAACCTATAATGAAACTGATCTCTAACCCACAATTTAAAGTGTAAATAGGTGTCCATGTGTATATACTGATGTTTTTAATAAACTTTTCTAACTAGAAAAAAGTAAAAAGCCATATATGTAAAAAAGGTATTGTGAAATTACGCAACTCTGTTCAGAACTGTGGGCATCGCACGGTACTAATGTGTTTATGTTGAGCAGCTTTGAAAATAAACTCATTTGCCTGCAGTTTAAAACCACTATCTGTTTTGTCTTTCACTTTCACAATACTGATATCAATTATTGATTTAAGAATGATGAAGAGGTAGTACTTTTCTTCTGAAGCTTTATTCATAACAAAATGGAGAAATCTCACACAATACAATTTCTTTTGCAAATAAATCTTTTTAAGATGAAGTACAAACTTGGATTGAAACAATGAATAGATATATTTAAATATTAACAAGATAACAAAACATCCATATACATGTCCTTTCTGTAACCATCATATTTTTAACCAAGGATGTATGATACGATTCAGGATCGGGTATTGGTTTGATATCAATCCAGTTTAAATCTTGAGTTGGAACATTTTGATCTGCAGTCTCTTAACTGCATTTGATTGATTCCTAGCAGCTATCGACAGAACTGGATTAGTGCACCTCTGCATTTAACAATAGAATTCTTTTACTTTTTGAATGTGGAATTTTGTTTTTCCCATTTTATTTGTATTTTTTTGGGACACCACACAAACTCTTCCCTTTTGTCAAAGTTGAGATATGCAAAGTTGAGAAGACTTCTGCGTTCTTGTTTGTCACACACTGTAAACAGGTAGTAGTTTAGCACACTGTCCTTGACTCTTGGAAGTTCTCCATTTACTAGAGTTTCCTCCAAGAAGAAGTGGACCAGAGGAGCTTGGTAGTGTTTGAATCCCAGAGTTCCCATGCACTTAAGCATCCGGGTGATCCTCAGGTTGTTGTGAGTATGTCTGTTATGATAAAAAAAAGAATAATTTGAGAATGTTAGTGATGTTAAGATTGAAAACAAAAATAGAGCCTGTCCTCTGTACTCTTCTGGGATAGATAACTGCTAAAAAGTATTACCTAATGGAGCTGAAGCTTTCAGAAAGTAGAATTCCCAATTTTAAATCAAGGATTTTTAACAATAACTTTAAAATGATTGAAAATGCATTTGACATAGGCTGTCAATATTAAATATTGGGGCGATATAATAGATCCATGAATTTGGGAGTAATCGGCTCTTTGATATTAAATGATGAGTTTTACTTCCTGGAACATAAGCTCCACCCACTTCACAGCTCATGTGCAAAGATGATCCTTTCCACTTGTGAACTGGTATTTACCATAGACTGTAATGTAACAAATGAGTTCTGTTAAAGTTATTTTAAAACTAAACATAGCGACAGCTTCTGTATCTCATTCTGCTAGGTATTATACAGAGGGGCAAAACATTATTTTGTGCAAGTCCTGCAACTTAAAAAGATGAGAGATGCCTGTAATTTGCATCACAGGTATATCTCAACTATGAGAGACAAAATGGAAATAAAAATGATGGTGGAAATCACAATCGCAGAGGTCAAGCGTTTTCTGTACATCTTCACAGAGCTTTCACACACTGTTGCAAGTATTTCGGCCCATTTCTCAATGCAGATCACTTCTAGAGCAGTGATGATTTGGGACTGTCACTGGGCAACTCAGACTTTCATTTCTCTCCAAAGATTTTATGGGGTTGAGATCTGGAGACTGGCGAGCTTGAAATTCTTCTTACAAAGCCACTCCTTTATTGCCCGGAGACTTTTTTGGATCAGTGTAATGCTGAAGACCTAGGCTTTCCAGATTTTCTGGATTTTTCTTTCTCATTTTGTCTCTCATGATTGAGGTATATCTGTGATGGAAATTACAGGCATTTGTCATCTTTTAAAGTGGGAGGACATTGGTGGCTGACTAATTACTAATACAACTGTGTATGGAATTGTCCCAGAACACCATGTCACTTGAATTTTTCACATAGTGCATCATAAAACCCTGAAAAAATGATTAACTTACAGTTTAATACATTTCAGACGAACTGGGAAATAGATTATTTTGCGTGAGAAAGTACTCACTCAACTTATAATAATCATTATAAGTCGGTTTCTGCTGACTGCTAAATAACTGCCATTTAATACCGTATGGTACAAAATAATTACATTTTTGCATTGTTTAAATGGTGCAGAGTGAAAAGAGTAATTATTTTCACCACAAATACAGAGGGGCAAAAAGTATTGTCAGCCACTCTTGTGCAAGTTCTCCCGCTTCAAAAGATGAGGGAGGCCTGTAATTTTCATCATAGATATACGTCAACTATGAGAGACAAAATGAGGAAAAAAATCCAGATAATCACATTGTCTGATTTTTTTAAAATGTATTTGCAAATCATGGTTAAAGATAAGTATTTCAATAAGGTCAATCAAAAAATGTATCTCAATACTTTGTTATATACCCTTTGTTGGCAATGACAGAGCTCAAACGTTTTCTCTAAGTCTTCACAAGGTTTTCACATACTGTTGGAAGTATTTTGGCCCATTCCTCCATGCAGATCTCCTCTAGAGCGGTGATGTTTTGGAATGAAAATTACAAGCCTTCCTCATCTTTTTAAGAGGGATAATTTGCACAATTGGTCGCCCCACTGTATGAACATGCCAACACATGGCTATATGTGTGTGCAACAAACTATGACCAGATACACATTTTGGAGGTCAAAGGTTATTTCATCTTGGCAACCCAAAGCGTAATTATCTCCCAGTTCTCCAGTAGAAATTATGAAGTGTCATTTACTTACAATAATCACCAGAGCACATGAAAGCACTAAAAGTTTGCAACATGGATTATTAAGATTTTTTTTTTTTTGCAGTAAACTTTGAAATGGGGCAAAGAACACATGTATTAAGTGGTTCGGCTCACCTTCTACATCCAGGAGTTTTAATTGTGCCTCTTGGCTAAGTTCTGCAATCTACGCGTACTCTTCTAGTTAGAGCATGCATAAGTGTTAATTTTACAAAATGTTCTGCATTGATTTATTTTCATACAATTATTGAAAATTGAGAAAGTGATATTGAAGAACTGTGTTGTTGTTGTTCAAATAAAAAGACTCCATAACTGGTACATCCTTCTTTGTAAAAGGAGAAATGACATGGTGATAATAATGAATTTGTGACATGAATAAAAGGCCTGTATACTCTACATACGTGTTAAGATTTCTGAATCGGCCTTTGAAGTTCGGCGCTCTCTTCACTTCCCCAGTATCTTCATCACTCAGCTCAATTCCATAGAAATCCAACATGAGCTTGTATGATTCCAGAAGGTTTTTTCTTGCTGTATCATTTTGACAAAACTCCTAAACATAAATAAAAGTTAGCACATGAAGCAGTGTATATATTTGATAATGTGGACCACCTGTATTTCCTCTTTGGTGAGTGTGGGGGCCTCTGGATTCACTCCTTGCTCTTGCAGTGGAAACAACCTATACAATCAGCAGTAATTTAAATATTATTTAATTCCATACATTAGGAAGCTAGAGTGTTGGTTCCCAACCTAGGGGGCTGGAGATCACAGCTTATGGTCTGTGTGACTGAAACGTGTAGTAACAGTGATATTGGAACCACCGTCCTAATGATTATACAATACATTCATTTGTCGGAATGAATTCCGGGTACACCCCAACCGACCCAGAGTGAAATTGCAAGCTCATGGACCTTTTGGAGCTGGATCCGCCCCCACTGGTTATGGCATAATGCTTACCATTGAATATAGGTGTGGACGGACTCCAATATGTCATACTGTCCTCTCCACATTGTATGGAAGTCCCATATGTAAACATCTGTGAAGCATAGAGATTAATTTAAAAAAGGAATCTAAAGAATAAAAGCATATTTTTCTCCCTCAATTAGGGTGCACTGGAAAAAGTGTAAGACTAACATATCCATACATTAGACCTGTAAAATAGTACAGGAGTCTTGTATGATGAATGTGTACTGACCATCAGGTGAAGAGGGCAACTTTCCGAGGTAGAAATCCAAATTTGGATATTCAACCTGTCCAGACAGATGTGATCATAATAAAATGCCTTAACTGTAAAATTCCTAGCAGAGGACACAACCTACTTTGTCACTGTCTTGATAATTCCAACACCGATAGGGTCTGATCTGAATCAAAAGCAGGAGGAAAATTACATATTCAACATATGTTAAATGAACTTTATCACTGTAAGATATTTTATTTACCGGATAGTCGTGTCTGTAATTTTGCAGATCCCTGGCAGCTGCTTTGAATCTCTCAAATTTGTACTAATGGAAACAAGAATAACATGAAACAATAACCTGTTTCTTTTATTATCTAGTATTCCAGTTGTGCAACCTGTAAATAGACATGAATGGTGCATGTGCATGTTTCTACCTCTATATCGGAAAGTTTTGTTTCGGACATATGAACCGGGATCTTCACCCTAAACTTGAAGCTGGTGTATTTAACTTTAAAACCACAAAAAAATGCTCAAAGATTGTCTTGCTATCTTGCTAAAATAAATTCTTATTTGACTTTACCGCAAGGCTCTTTTGGTGAAACAAAAACGAATGATGATTTATGAAGTCTTAAAGTTAGGCACCCCAGTTTTCACCTTTTCTGTGATTACCAAATCAAAACTGTTTTCCCATAATGGAATGGAGACTTTAAACCATAATGGAATGGAGATAGAACTGTGTCAAGATGTGTGCCCATTTAAGATCCTGGATAAATACTGAATACATGTGAAATAAGTCGAAGTCAAATGAGTAGAGAGTACATAATTATGATCATGAATACCATTTGCTTTGTCGTGTCTTGTATATGCCCCTCTTGCCTCGCCGTTATCACATACAGTAAAGTCATTTGCACATGGGCATATCTGTCTTCCTCTCATGTATATAAGGCTCCTCAAATAGATGTGACGACTGCGTAGGTGCATAGAACTATAGTTATGTTTGGTAACTGTGATTTCTGGTGTTTACTTACAGAGTGCGCCTTGAAGACTTTGGTGCGCTCATTCTGCCCCCCGAGTGCGTTTTCCTCCGAGTCCTCCGGGGCCGTGTCCCAGGTCGAGTCGTAGTCACACTCGTAGTCGTGCTCAAAGTACCGGTCGTGGAACGTGAAATCCTCTTGCTCGTCTTCCTGAGCGTCTTCTTGTACGTCTCCTTGTGCGTCTCCTTGTGCGTCTCCTTGCTCGTCTTCCTGAGCGTCTTCTTGTACGTCTCCTTGTGCGTCTCCTTGTGCGTCTTCTTGTACGTCTCCTTGTACGTCTCCTTGTGCGTCTTCTTGTACTTCTCCTTGTACGTCTCCTTGTGCGTCTTCTTGTGCGTCTCCTTGTGCGTCTTCTTGTGCGTCTTCTTGTGTATTCTGCAGAGTGTCGGTGATATCCTCTCTGTGGGGCTCAACTGTTTCTGAGTTGACATTTCTGTTCTCTTCCCCGGCCGCTTGATCTCCACGGCCGCCTTTAAACACGTACTGAATGGCCAAAATTGAGGCTGCGACCCCCAGACAGTTCACAACGTAGTACCATACTTTCCCCGAGAACAGGTGTCTCAACGCCCCCCAAAAGTATCCCAGGCCCACCAACCTGTGCATCCTCAGAACGAGTTTAGACAAAGCCCGACAAAGAGACATACACTTACAGACTGCGGCTACACTTTCGCTTTAGCTTCGCAACTTCCCTGCTGCGTGTTTGGTTTTACAGGAAATGATACCAACGGCCACGAATAATGTCAACGATTTGAAATGGGCTAGCATGTATTTTTATTTCATTTTTTTAATCTTTGATGCATGTAAGCCTCAATAAATAAACATAAGAAAAAAGTAGATGATATATAAGATTATACCTGATTGTTATTATTATTATTAATTGTATTTCTTCAGTCAACAACGGCTATTGCGTACACATAAAAACATCATAAAAAAATAAATTAAATATACACATCTTTATATGTATATTTACATATTTTGTAATGTGTTTTTTACAGCCACAAGTCACAATAAGTCACGATAAGTGAATTAATTGTTGCAGCCCAGATATAGGCTATATACTGACTGTGATTCTTAACAAACCTGATCCTGAAACCATCAGAGACTAAGGGGAAATGTCCAAGCTGCAACAGGACTTTATGATGTTTATGATCACCTCTTATCTCATGACTGTCAGAACATTCTGTTTGCATTTCTTCGCCTCATTCTCCACCAATGAGTAACACAAGTTCTTGAGTATATCTGTTCTAGGACATCCTGCTCTTAATGTCTTCCTGCACACAGCACTTCAGTCCTATATGGAGCATCAGATAGGTGTATAACAAATGGTGATTGATCTTCAAAATACCATCTTTACTAAGCAGGCCTGAATGATCCAAGTTTATTGAATATTTCATATTATACAGACATTACATGATAATGTTTATTTGTGCCACAAAATTGGTGGATGGTAATTTAATTCAGATTATTTCAACATATGCATTCAAATAGCTATATTAATTGTGTTTAAAAACCTTTCATAAAACAGGCAAGTTAAAAAAATAACCACTACAAACAGATCAAAATCGACTGACAGGAAAAGTTGGAGGGCTTCTACAGTTATTTATGGAAATATAAAACCTTGTTTATCCTGTCCATGGTCTGAGATGAGTCCTTCATAGAGTGACATATGTGCATTTGAGCTGTACATACGTGTGCATCGTTCTCTTTGCCGCTGACATATAAGGTCCTCTCCTAAAGACATCCGCATGCCATGGCCGTGCATAATGTGATTGTGCTCGGATCAGGTTGCAGGACTGACGCAGACACGCCTCGTCCAGTCCAACACGCGTTAATTGAAGCTCTTCAGTTTTCACACGCTGCACTAGAAGCAGCGTGATCCCAGCAGGCCCCGGGCCGCACACAAGTGATGGAGGAGAGTGCACTGTGGAGAGAGCCACATGCGGTGTGCGTGCGCCCCGGGCCTGGGCATGAAGGCCCAGAACATCCGGACCTTGGCTCTGATCGTGTCCACACTCTTCTACCTGCTCATAGGGGCCGCTGTGTTTGCGGCGCTGGAGTCAGAGGCGGAGAGCTCCGGGAAGAAGGTCCTGGAGGAGAAGCTGCAGCAGTTGAAGGACGCGTACGGCTTCACAGACAGCGACTTCAGCCAAGTGGAGAAAGTGGTGCTTCGGTCTGAGCCGCACAGCGCCGGCCGCCAGTGGAAGTTTGCGGGCTCCTTCTACTTTGCCATCACTGTCATCACCACGATAGGTACGCGACCTGCGTGTGGCACTAACAGGCTGAGGATCCTGTTGTCAGTTTTACTTTAATTTAATCATGGTGGGTACTGTTTCATTTAAAACGGGAAATGTTGTAAAAAACAGAGCATATCTGGTCCATTTATTCTGCAAACTGGGATGCTTTCGGGAGATCTGGTTTGCCGAGATCACTCATGTCTGAATATGTCCTTAAAAGACCAACATATATATGATCATTCACAAACACAACCTTCTGTACATATCATAGAATAGAATAGAATAGAACTTTATATATATCCAAAGTTGATGCAAAAGGTTCTGTACAGGAGAGGGAAATGACAAACGATGCAGAGGTCAGGGTCCATCTCACAGCAGAATATGTTTTATTGTTGGTAAAAAGACACGACCAAAGTTTTGCAGCTTACTTGTGATCCGCGACGGCGCCAGTAGCTTCGACCTTCAGATTACCAACACATCAAGTGGAAAATCACTGGCTTCTGTAAAGTGCTGGAATGATAGCTTAGGTTTAATAAATTGCGTCAAAAACGTTTTAAGAGATCCAAACAGGTTCTGTCTGACGCAGGAGTGACCATCCACACTGAAGCAGGGCTGCCTACATCATCCGTGTTTGTACTATTTTGATTGTATTTTATTTGATCAGATAACTGAAAGATCTGCAAACAAGACTCTTTATCCATATCTGAAACTCTTCAGGCGATTTCAAAAGCCTATATTCTCTTTTCCCATGACTCTGTGTACATTGCACATGCCACAAGTAACAAGTAGGGCTTTAAACCATATTACAATCATTATTTGGCCACAGTCCTCCACTGAGTTATCTGATCTATTGTTTCCGGATAGTTGCTTGTTTACCTGTCTGCAGTTGCACTACGCCTGTTCAGTCACACTTGATCATTGCCAAAGGCCAGAGCCATATGCATAGTGATTAGAGAACCAATTAGCCATGGAACAGAAACCGTCTCAAGGAAGTAAGGAGCCATTAAGAGCGCCAATTTGTTTGCACAAGCACCTTTCAAAATTGGGCCTTTAATATAAATGTTTTTGTGCAGCATTGCAAATGAGCACAAGGAATTTAATCACACTTTATCACACCTTTTCTATTGATAATATTGTAATCAATCCTTTATCTGACATTCAAATATAACCGTTAAACAAAAGCTGTGAGGTGTGCAAAACTATGTAAGAGTATTATGACTAAATGCAACACAAATGTACCGAAATATGACATGTTGGTATCTTATGTCATGATCTCTGATTCTGAGCAGTAATGTTCCACCAGGGAAATATGTTTCCTTCATTAATAAAATTAAGAAACACATTTTTATTGCTTTACCTTAAGTGTTCCATGTGTGGCGCCACCTGCCTGAAAGCCTGATCCCGTCAGATGTTGTTGTGTCCTTAGGCAAGACACTCAGATTGCCTGGTATGAGTTTGGTGTGTGCATGAGCGGTTATGGATCGGAGGGGTTAATGACACATGGTTGCTTCACTTCTCTCAATCTACCTCAGGGCAGCTGTTGCTACACCACCGCTGTGTATGGAGTGAATGAATATTTGCATGCAAAGCATCTTTGAGTGCCCAAAAAGTGCTATTTAAAACTGATTTGTTATTACATTATTATCATAATTTTTTTGAATCATGTGAAATGTGTAGATATAAACCATAATGGTTTATGTATATGATCCCAAATGTCCACTCCATGCAAAACAACAACAGCAAAACATTCTAATAACTGAATTGAAACAATGTTGAAGATGTTTATTTAATGTGTTTATAAACAGCTTCGATTAAACCTGCATATGCCCATTACCAAATTGAAATGAATAAGATTAATTGTATGTAAATTGTAAAACGATACAAATAACATACAGTAGAACAGTAGCACAATACTGTATATTTCAATAATACACGCACACACTACACACACACGTACTGGAGAAGGTGATGCCCTCAGCACAGAGCAGGGGATGGGAGAAAGGGGTAGGGTCAGAGAGTGTTTGGGCCGGTGTGTGTGTGTGCATGTGCATGTGTGTACTTGGGTGTTTTGTGTCTAATACCCCATAATAGGATATGGTATAATACGGTTTGTACTGCACAGTATCACATTTGTATTGACATTGTATGTGGATAAATTGCATTGTGTTTTGTGTATTATTGTGTTGAATTGTGAGAGTGGGTTGGGAACAAATAAGCATCTGCTTCATTGAGCCCCTTTGTTGTGTGATTAAAAAATGTCTGAAATTTGGTTGTGCAGATTTGAAATAAATCCAACTAACTAACTTGGGAATTTGGTTTTCCTACATCTAAAATTTACTCAACTAATATCTATTTTGGTCAAAGAGGATGCCTCAACTGATTAATCAACTTAAAGGTACCATATTTTGTTTTTATCCACACACATTCACAGTCCACCCTATGCACATGTGTGATACTAATTTGGGTGATACATCATACAACACTCAACCTATAAAGTATAGGAGGATCTTGGAGTGACGTAGTTGTTTATAGCTTTTCCGCTCCGGTCACGTGACTGTGTGGCACTACAGCATGGAAAGCTACCAGGATGCTAGAGAGTTAGCTATTTTTAGGCGTTTGTAGAGAGGTTTTACTAAATCAAATGGCCCGTTCTTGTTGTGTGGTCGGTTGTACGGCCCGCCGGGGACAGATTAACTTATATACATTGCTATTTGCCCACTGAGTCTTTTAAAAGTACTCGTTGCATCCATGGTTCAGTATGTGGCGCTCTGTCTTCTTGCCACCCGTGCGATCCTCAAAGATCCTCCTATAGCCATTTCGTGCATAGAGGTGAAACAAGCTGATCAGGGCTCCTCTGCCTGTGAGCCTGCCTCTTCCCGCCCGCACGGTGACGTCACGCGAAGTTCAAGGTAAACAAGAGTTAACTGTACTGTTGTCGCTGTTACATAGTAATTTCAGAACTGAGAATAAACTTTTTCCAACAATGGCAACTTGTCACGTAGAGCCCTATGTCCTTGATCCAGAATCAAACCCTAATAATTTAGTTCACAGTGACATACAGAGTTAGCATCACTGTACTTACAGACGAGGCTCCTGTTGCGTCTTTTATGTTGGAAACAACACCACGTTTCCAGATCAGCTTTTGAGTAGGTCCCGTTTCAAGCTAACTGTAGTTCTGGAACAGTCTTTGGTGGTGTCACCACAATATCTGCAAAATTTGTCGCGGATTTCAGACTTGCGGATACGAGACCAATCCTTGTGAACACAGTCAATTCCCATTTTATGTCTTCGGGCCAAATACTCTCGTTACATATTCAAACCAAAAACAAATTTTCTCAAGTTAACATGAATCCAACAAAAATTAAGCACATATTTATGGTCTATGGACCACACGCTGGACTCAGAGAGGCTGCAAACACTGACCATAAACGGCGCTGATTTGTTGGTTCAGTTTCTCCCCGCTGTCAATCACCTCTTGGAGGCGGGCTTTTGACTTCATGGATTGTGCCTCATCACGATTTGAAACAGCTCGTTACTGTGCCTCTCGAGAATGAAAGATGAAAGAACGCTCTCTTACTAAAGCTTCAAGGAATCAATGAAAAAACTCCTCTGGGCATGTGTATGAAGGCCAAATATCACTGTAATCATGTATAAACCAGAGAAAAGTCAATATGAGACTTTAAACAACCAAAGAGTAGCAGTCCAAGTGGAATGACCTGTAACCTCTTATCCAAATCTGAAATGTGTGTCTATGTGTTTGCCTTCTGGTTGTACTGAAATCTTTTGATGACAGTGCCTTAACAGCCATTGTCTCTTTTGGTTTGCAGGCTATGGCCACGCTGCTCCATGCACTGATGCGGGGAAAGTGTTCTGCATGTTTTACGCACTTCTGGGCATTCCTCTGACCCTGGTGATGTTCCAAAGCCTGGGAGAACGCATCAACACCTGCGTTCATGTTGTGCTAAGTCGGGGGAAGCAAAGTCTTGGCCTGCTGAAGACGGACGTGTCTATGATCAACATGGTTCTTGTCGGGCTCCTTTTGTGTTCCGGTACTCTTTGCATAGGAGCTGCTGCTTTCTCACACTTTGAAGGCTGGTCGTTCTTTAACGCTTATTACTACAGTTTCATCACTTTAACCACTATTGGATTTGGAGATTTTGTGGCCCTGCAGAAGAAGGACACTTTGCAAAGGAGGTACCCTTATCTCATATTCAGTTTTACATACATTCTAGTCGGGTTGACGGTGGTCGGTGCTTTTCTCAATCTTATCGTTCTCAGGTTTTTGGCAATTAGCAGTAAGGAGGCTCTTTCAAAAAAGGAAGATGGTAGTGAAGATAGTGGTGTAGAGGCTGGGCACAGTGGTCCAGATTTGGATGGACAAAGTCAGTGCAAGGAGGAGGCATTACGTAATTGTAACCTGGTTCTTCCGATGGAGTCAAGTATGAGTCATGTGAATCTTCTTGCGCCCTCCAATGAGAGACAGCAGGTCACACCTCAAAAGCCATGCAACTTTAGACTTCCAATGCTTAAAAGTCTGTGTCCTTGTGTGTGTTGTTACGAGGATGACGGCCCTATCCGCTCCCATCCGGATGAGATGCAAGGACATTGTAACCCAGTCTTCTTCAACTCCATCTCCTACAGGGTGGACCAAGTCGTAAGCAGCAACTCGTCATCTCAAAACCCATCATGTAGCTGCAGCATTTACAAGCAACACCCCAGGAGAAGATTGTCCATTTGAGTGGGAAAACAACAAACAATTTGTTGTTCATCCACACTAATCTCAGGAACTTCTGGCACACACGTGTAGCTTCTTCTGTCTAAAAGCCCCTGTCTCTGTCCTGTGATATGTCATTGTAACACTATGTATTGCTCCTTGGTTGTCCCACATATTACTTACTGCTTTGAAATATTGGGAAATACTTCTCGAACAAACACACGGTGTCTCTTCATGCAACAGAACAGAGCGACACCTATCATTCACAACGCTGGTTACAGAGAAAGTACGAACTTACTCTTCTGTAAATCAAAGGTTCTGAAACTTGAGGAATTGATGAAACTCAAAATTCTCCAAATAATATATAAAGCAGGACATGCTCCTGAATATAATCCAACAAATGTTTAGTGATAAAAATACCATGTAATCTCCGACACAAAACGAATTTCACAAAGCAGTATGTTCGTACCACAATGAAACAAAAGTTTATTACAAGATAAATGGAACAATGTCGTTGTTGAACTTAAAAAATTGCACTACTTTGGAAAATGTTTAAAAAGGCTTTAAAGTGAGGACAGTCCAGGACGGCCATACCATGCTTACACACAGAAATAAAGCTGTGACCAAACACATTTTGATCATAACTAATGAATGTCCGGTGAGACGACCACCTACTCCTTTTGGGCATCATTTCTATTTGTACATTTATAAATCTATTTATTTTTTCTGGCTTTACTTGCCATGCTGATCTGTATCCCAATGTCCAACTTGGTGAAACACAGATGCTCAAATAAAGAAACAAAATTACATCACATCAGTAGTTTTCTGTCTTTCAAAACAACGATGTGTTGCGCAACAACGATTTTACCAATAATATTTCTTTACCATATATTTTCTACTTTCACTTTTCATTGATAATGCATAATATTTGATGGTTGTCATGGGATTTGAAACTGCTTTATGCTTCTGATTTTGAAAAGATTTGACATGTCATAGTGAACACACACATCTCTCCCAAAGATCTTTAGCCTTAGAAAATACCATAAATGGTACTTTATTATTCTCCAAGTACTTGACTTGAACAGGGGAAGAGAGTCAGTGTTGCGGAGGTCCGGGGGGAGTAAGTTCTAGAGCTGGGGAGCAGAAAAGCAAGAATACTTCAACTGTTCACCTAGCTCTGACCACGTTTACATTCACAGAAGGTACCGCAAGCATGAACCCAGTAACCGTTTCAACCTTTAAAGTTGGAAAGGCAGATTTCTTTTGTACGTCTCTAATAGAGATTTTGGAGAGCTGACAGAGTTAGTTTTTCAGTTCAAAAATGTACATTATTTTAAATATTCAACTTTCTATGGGGAGTGTATATTTGACCCTGTAGGGCCAGTGGCTGCATGAGCGGTCAGTACGATGCATTTATTTTCCATCACAGTGGTGGTTTTAGGATCAATCGTTTGGAAGGGTTTTCTCAGCTGACGGACTCTCTCACCACAAAACCTGCAGCAATTCAGACACAGTCCTTGATAATGAGTGCTGCCCACTCCCACAGCCACTGGGTTACCATATAGTCAAAACTGTAAGTAAGTAAGTAAGTATGTAAACTTTATTTATAGCACCCTTCACAGACCAGGGTCACAAAGCGCTTCACATAGCATATTTTTACATACCATGGTCACCCAAAGCGTTTTACAATGTTCAGAGTTTAGACATGAACTTTTTACTCTTTTTTTTTCTTCCAGATAAACATTTGCAAAATACACTTTCTTTGATCAGGTGTTCTTCTCCATCTTTGTCATATTGATCATGTACCCACACCTAATGCTTTATCATGTTCATACACAAAATCATGATCAGTTGAAAGTCTCTGACAAATGTTAAATGAATATGTATTTTTATTTTTCATTGTCAGGCAAAGCACATTCTGATGTTGGCTAGAATGTAATACAGTTTATTCTGTAAGCATTATGGGCAAAAGCTCTTTATCAAACCAAGATAATCCAATGTCTTTTTAAATCAGTGTGTGTGTGTTTAAAAACTGAATGAAGCTGAATTAAAGGGTCTGTATGTCAGATATGTGTGTATGTGTTTATTGTTCATTTCATTCACATGTCAACATATTGATGTAGAAAATATCTATACAATTGTACATTTGCGAAACACTGTGGGAAAACAGAAGGAAAAGAGGCCCACAAGTGACACAGGATTTATTGGAGAATGGACGATTAAGTCTGCACACAAAGGGGATGAGAAACCGCATCAACAACAACAACAACACAAGAGCTTGGACACGGCATCATCAGAAGGATCAAAGGTACGCCAGCCACAAATCACAACTTTTTCAAGACTATGTACAGTGCAATGTTTTCCCTTGTTTATCATATGCAGCAGATTGACATGTTTACTTTAGTTACACAGGTGAAAGAATACCTCTGCAGATGAAGAGGTCAAGTCTACCTCTGATCAAAAGGTGCAAGAGCAAGTTTTTAATGTACTCTTTTGTAATGAATACTCTTACACAAAGAGCCAAGTGTAGGTGGATGGTTGGACTTTGAGCCAACAATTAAAATATTGGTTGTGTTGCCTTTTTTTCTGCAAGTCTGAGCCAAATGTTTGCCTCTTTATTCCAAATGAAGAATTTTGTTGTTTTTAGCTGATAAGAAAAGTTTACTAACCCTGACCAGTGTGGATGAGATGAGCTGATTTCTTCAAGGAAGTTTTTGAGTTGAATATGGCATGGCTCTTGTCAGTGTTACACAAACATTTTTCAAATTTGCTTTTTAGGCAATACTACTTTATAAAACTATAAAAATAGAAGGATGTCTTGAGAAATGGATGGAATTTGATTGAAGAATATTCCTGAATGCCTATGCTATGTTCTTTATTAATGTTATCCAGTTGGTAATCATTTCTGGTGTATTTTAGGGAGCCCATTTTGGGGCCCAATGAAGCTGGTTGACTCTGCCTGGAATCAGCAATTTGAAATAGTCTATCATTCAAGGTATGGTTGCAAGTTTCAGTGATTAAAGTCAGAATATTTCGTTCCTCACTATAATCATGTAAATGTAAGAATGTTCAACAATATTCCAGTCTGTGGTTCAAACACGTGAACAGTGGCGTCAGACCCTGTGCGCTGCGTCCTTCTTGTTATACAGTATGGATAGATCTGACATGCGAAGAACTGTGGCTTTCCTGATACTGCCAATTAACCAGAAGAGCCGTATTGATTCTGGAAGCACATAGGAGACCACCCCGGGCTCTCCGAGGGCTGCAGAGTCAAACAACCAAGAGGGGAATCTGCCCATTTGCCTGGTTTGAATTTCCTATACTCCTCTCCCATGTTGATATTTCAGTAATCTGTGACTGGCCTTTGCTCCACTCAGAGCCGGGCAGAAAATCACTACAGGTTTTGCTATTCATAATATAATTTACCAGGGTTAAGCTCTGACATGCATTTAATTACTGTACTTTTTCTAATTGACCAGCAGGAGGCACCCTTGTACCGCGCATTAATGTAAGAATATTATACAAACACTTTCCTCAAACTAAACTACAAAGATTTTTTATTTTATTTTAAAGCTGAGATACCTAACTTTCAAACCACAACAATTTAACTAATAACATTCATATAACTACTTCCTCGCTCTGAAACGTTTGTATCACTACTGTCACTTGCATGTATTTTTCACATCTTTACACACAGACAGAAATGTGAGGAAGAGAGGACCACCTTCACTCAGCCATTCAGCCCAAAACGTCATATAGTGATTGACAGGGATTTCCTGCTGCTCTTTCTTACACCTCTTACACCCATGCTAATAATATGTTTTCTCATCAAGTGAATACCTTATGGTTATTGCCTGTTTTCCTCACAAAATTGTATGTTGGATCAAAACTTAATTTTTCACTGTTGTTCAATTTGTGGTAATTAGTTATGGCTCAACAAAATCACATCAATAAATACAAAATTAGCCTGATCTCTGCGAAAAAATTAACAAAACCTCAAAACTTGTCAAGGCAAAACGTTTAAATCCACATAAGATCTTGTGTGCCTGTGCATTGTTAGCATTATTATGAGTTGAAAAGCTTTGGTCTTATATACATAACTGTTTCATTTTTATATTCAGATTAAGAGATCCTTTATTCGTCCCACAGTGAGGACATTTCAGTTTTCAATTCACTTTATGTGGATGTGACGCCTCAGATGCCTGTTCAGATCTCTGACAGGGAGCGGCAAAAGTGAAGGAAATTATCAGTGCGACGCAGAGAAGTTGAAACCGGTGGCGTCAAAAGAATTGGACGTGGCATACGAATAGCTCCACTCCCACGCAAAAGAGATTATTATACTTTTTTTTGGAATGTCTTTGTACTTTCAGGCTATGCGAGAGAGCCTTAGCATGTAGTATGTCATTGAGTTGTGTATTGGCTGATTGATTTGAAGTGTATATTGTAGATGTATTGTCAAAATATGTTGAACACGTACATGTATTGAGGTTCCTATTGGGCTGACAAAGGACTATTCTATTAAAAATTGATAGAAAAAGTTCTATTAAAAAAACTTTTTCTATCAAAGATATTTCTGACTCAAATAACACTTAGAAGATTGCAAAGCCTTTTCGTTCTTGTTTTTCTGTAAGCCATTGCAATCCTAATGAGTAAGCTATAGTTTTGTTATGCTCTTTATTAGTGAAAGAAAGTGTAAGTAGCATTAATCGTACAGGTCAATGTATGCCAACGTAAGTAATGCTTGTTGACATTTTTTATTTGAATTTTGAACAAAGCACTTGTAAAGGATTAATGAGTCGAGTCTTTACTTATGCACCATTAACTGAACGGAGAAAGATGGCGTTGGGGCAAGTACTGGCTATTTTTATGTTCATTAACTGCACTCAGGGCTGGGGTCCCAAACCATTTCTGTTCTGAAAAGCACTTTCTCGTGGGTCTGGCACT